AGCTGCTCCCAACTGGACACATAAGCAGCACACCCCACGAGGGATCCCAGAAGGCACCAGACCCTGCTGGGAACAACCCTGCCTCAGAAGGCAGCCCCAGCACAGTGTCTCATGCACGGTGATCGAGGTTGACCCCTATAGTCACCCAGCCTGAAGGGTTAACTCAGAACACAAAAGGGCCTACAGCAATCAAGCCTCAGCTACACCAGGGGGAGCACATAACCCACAAGAGACATGCCCGGAACACAGAGCTCAGATGATCTGGAAGACTGTGCCTCTGAGCCCAACTAGACACCCCGGACCTGCACCAGCACAGCAGCTTCCAAGACGTGGTGGGTGATGAGCCTCACAGTCAGCCAGCCTGAGGGTGGATTTTAGCCATGAACGCGCCAAGAGCGATCAAGACCCAATCACAGCAGGGCCCACATAACCCACACAAGGGGCACCCCTAGAGGACTCACCTCAGGAGATCAAGGAGACTGCCTCACTGTGTCCCACAGGACACCTACTACATAAGGCCACCCCATGTAGACTGGGGGTCACGGCCCCTACAGGGGATCAAGCCTGAAACCCAGGCATGTGCCCTTACTGGGAATCAAACTGTGACATCCAGGTTCATGGTTCAACATTCAACCACCGAGCCACGCAGGCCGGGCTTAAATTTTTATGGATTCTTCAAAAACTCCACCTGAAATGCCTGTGCTAATGATCACACCCACCTTATATGAAAATACCCAATAAATATATGTGACTCATACTCAAAGAGACTCAGGAGGCTTTGCCTAGGAATAAGTGATAAATATTTATTCAAGAATCTGAGGGTTTACAAACCAGAAACAACTAGGCAATACCCAGAGTGTCCTGAAGATAAGAGAAAAGCTAAGAGATTTTGTGTGTGTATAGGTTTGCTTTCATTTTTAAAATTCTATTTATCTTGTTTGTTGAAAATATTACAGATGTCACCCTTTTTTCCCTACTGACCCCCTCCACCCTGCTCCCACCACTCCCCCCATAAAGTTTTTATAGCAAAAACACATTCTTGAAAAAAATCAGACCTGCCCAGGCCAGGTGGCCTCCATTGGTTGGAGTGTCATCCCTTACACCAAAAGGTTGCGGGTTTGATTCCAGGCCAGGGTACACACCTAGGCTGCAGGTTCGATCCCCAGTCAGAGCACGTATGGGAAGCAACCGATCGATGTTTCTCTCTCACATCAGTGCTCCCCTCTCTCCCTCCCTCTCTCTCTCTCTCTCAGCAATAAAACATATCCTAGGGTGAGGGTAAAGCAAACCAGTCTGAAATGGAAATTTTCTAAAGGAGCAGTGCTTTGGAGACTGGATATTAGTTGGTCTGGATACCTGAACATTCTTTCCTTAGTCCCTCAGCGGGGAATCAGGTGGTCATCTGGAGGTTTGTTGTATATCTAGACATTAATGCAGGACTGGAAAGTTCAAAAGATTACGTTCCCAGGCTAATAAAAACAAGAATAGAATTATTTCTTCATGACAGCAGTTTCTTTATTTTTGTAATTAGGAGCTTGACTATAGTGATTCCACTTTATTTCTTTACCCTAATCCTCCCCTAACATTAGTCATTTCCCTGGAAAACGAGGCAATCGTGATCACTTATAATTTGCAATTTAGGCTTCAGTAATGAGAGTAAGCCTCGCTTCACAGTTGACAGAATTCTTAATTCTGCAAACTGGTCTACCTATGTATTTTGCCAGTTTTTCTCTTGCACAATCATTTCATAATTTTCTTCAAAACCTTTATGTAGTACACATTCTTTTTTAATGTAGTTTGAAAACATTCCCTCCTGGCTCGGCATTACAACAAAGGCTGGCAGAGCGGCTGAGGACAGTTTACACTGAGAAGCACTAAGCCCTCCGCAGCATGCGTTTACCAGCATTCTCGTTTCCTTGCACTGAATAAAGTTACACACGGCTGGAGGTAGTTTTCTATTTCTTGTCTTCTTTAGGCCGTAAAATCATAAAGAGATTCTGAAGGAATACTTAACTGAGATTTATTACGTATTAAAAACCCCTGCTGACTTCTGAGGATTGCTCTGTCATTTTTATTTTAACAGAAGAAAGAAGAGGCATTAAACGAACGGTTATAAAATAATTAGGAAGCACAGACAATAAGCAGAGGAATGCAGCAGGACACACACTAGATGCGGTTCCTGCCGGGAAACTAATGCAACGCTGTGCCTCGATTATACCTTAGGGAGGGAGGGAAGGAAGGAAGGAAGGAAGGAAGGAAGGAAGGAAGGAAGGAAGGAAGGAAGGAAGGAAGGAAGGAAGGAAGGAAGGAAACAGAAAAGACATTATAAAGGTAAGTATTTTCCCTGTGGTTTTGGGACTCAGGCTACATTCCCAGGAGCGAAGTTCCCTCCTTAATTTGGGGGAACGCCTCTGCGTCCGCACAGTGGCGGCCCGTCGCACTCCCGCAGCGGGCCCAGGGCCCTTCTCCAGCCCCTCGCCCGCACGTGCTGTTGGCTGGTTTGCGGACGGCAGCCCTCCGGGCAGGTGCGCGGTGACACCTCTGTCCCTCTAACTTGCCCCCCTCTGATGCTCGGTGACGCTGAGCGTTTCCCGCAGGTCTCTTGGCCATCTGTAGGCCATCTTTGGAGAAGTGTCTATTCCTGTCCTTTGCCCATTTTTAACTGGATTGTCCCTCTTCCTTTTGCTGAGTGTTATGGGTTCTTTATCTATTTGGGGAATTATCCCTTATCGGAGGCATCATCGGGGAACATGTGTCCCACACGTGGGCTCCCTTTTCACGTTGAGGATGGTTTCTTTTCCTGTGCAGGAGCTTTTTAGTTTGACCTGGTCCCATTTATTTATTTTTCCCTCTGTTTCTCTTGCCCTAGGAGGTGGATCAGGGAAAAGTCGGCGAGGTGCGATGTCTGAGACACAGACTGAACTCTGGAGCCCAGCGGACAGTCTGCTTTTGTTCCGTTTTGCCTTCGAGTCATGAAACCATGAGTAGATCCCAAGGAAACACGCAGTCTAGAGATATTTCTTTGCTCAAATCACTGCTGGTTTCGGAGAAATGCTCTCTTGTGTCTTGTACTCCAGAAAGAAGTTGTTTAAAAAGATATTTATTTATTTACTTATTTATTTATAAAATAAAGAGTTAGTAATAAACACAATGGAATGTCTGCCCTGAATTTACTGGAAGGTCGTGAGAAATGGTCAATTCCTGGCTTTTTTATAACGATTGAACCACAGGGTTTTCTAGAAGGAAGGCAGGAAGGAGGGAGAGAAGAAGGAAGAGCCTGTCTTAAATGGTTGAAATGTCTCTATGCTCCAAACAAAGCTTTCAGAGAAAAATTGATAAATTCTTATGTAATTCAGAAGATTTTAAATCAAAAGCTTTTACCCAAAGGAACCACGCTGACAGCTTTTCATATATTTTTCCAGAGTTAAAATAAGATTATTTAATCATAATAACGTGTGATAAATACTATACATATTTTTACAACTTACTTTTTTTAAAAATATATATATCTTTATTGATTCCAGAGAGAGGAAAGGAGAGAGAGAGAGAGAGAAACCTCAATGATGAGAGTCACTGATCGGCTGCCTCCTGCACGCCCCCTCCTGGGGATGGAGCCCACAGCTCGGGCCTGTGCCCTGACCGGGAATCGAGCCCCGATCGCCTGGATCCTAGGTCGACACTCAACCGCCTGGCCGGGCTATTCCTTACTTTTTAAAATGACTCCAAGATGTGTGATTAATTGGGGGTGCTATAATTATTTGAAACGTTTATCATGATTAAATTATAACTTATTGAAGTTTTATTATTACATATAATTTTTCCTTTTGAATATCCCATATTGACAGATGGGGTTGGAAGTTGACCAAGGGAGTAAAACACAAAAGCTAAGGCTATTTTTCCAAAAGGTATTTGTACCTTAGATTTGGTTACATTTCTTTAAAGTTCTGAAGACAAGAATCTTTATATCTTGCCCCCGCCCCGTGTCTCTTGGCTTTGCTTTGGCAACAGGCAGCGGGTAAAAGGAAGGAATTTTGTGCCTTTTCTAGCCAGGTTTCGATTTGCTGTGGGCAAAGCTTTAAGTGATCTCACCTGTGAACATGTCCAGCTGTGACTAGAGTCCAAAAGAGGGACCAAGCGTCCCCACCCCTCCTACCAGTCATGATTTTTTCACGGGAGACTGAAAAAAAAAAATCTCAGCTTGAACAATGGTAGACAAAGGACACAATCCATTGAAACTTCCTGGTGATCCCCTAAAGACAATATTTACTTAGAGCTGCTCTCTCTCTCTCGGCTCCCCAAATTCCCACTAACGCCAAACGAGGCCACCAGTTTGCTGAGTAAGGTGACCAGCCTCTTACAGTGTCTCTCAGCTTATAGCAGCGTGTGGCCCCCAGGACTTTGTTCCCCATCCAAGCGAATAAATGAACAGACCATAGAAAAGCGAGCACTGCTGGCTGGTGTGGCTCAGCGGTTGAGCGTCGACCCAGGATCCAGGCGATCGGGGTTCGATTCCCGGTCGGGGCACATGCCAGGGCCTCAGGCTCGATCAATGACTCTCTCACCATTGATGTTTCTGTCTCTCTCTCCCTCTCCTTTCCTCTCTCTGAAATCAATAAAGATATATTTTAAAAAGAAAAGAAAAGCGAGCACTNGTCTCTCTCTCCCTCTCCTTTCCTCTGTCTGAAATCAATAAAGATATATTCTAAAAAGAAAAGAAAAGCGAGCACCTTCCAGCTGTCGCATAAGCACCAGCACCTCTTGAGGACTCTCAGGGGCACAAGCGTCTCGGGGAACAACCTTACGGAGGCTGCCCAGAGGCAGCTGCTACGCAGAGAGCCTGAGGGAAATGACCCCGATTCTGCCCTGAGTGGCTGAAAGGCCTCTGTTCTCAATCTCAATCTCTTCAGAGCCACAGGGAGAAAGAAGCCTCGTTGGATAAAATCAATCAACTGCTGAGTGTGCAGGTCATGAAAACACTATTTCGTGTCAGTAATGGTTACATGGAATATGTCCCTGCTTAAAAGTCCTGTTTGAGGTTTTGTTCTTGAAAAGGGCCCTCAGTTCTCCAGCCCAGGTAAAGGCTGAAATCCCATCGCCTGCACTTGTACCTGTCCTCAGACAGGCCTGGAACCAAAAAATCAGGGTCTCTGTGATCTAGATGCACAAAGATGCCCAGGGATACATGAGAGGGGTGGCTGGAGCCCAGGGGTGTGAGAGGACAACGCACACTTGGCATTGGCGGAGCCAAGGGTCCTGCTGGGGAGTGGAGATGACACCAAGATTTGTCCACCTCAATCTCCAGGTCTGCTGAGGAGCAATTTCCATGCTCTCCCGGGACCTCTGGAAGACGGTCGTCACCCCCAGGACCACCAGTTTTTTGCCACTGTTCAAGTTAGAAGAATGAGCACCTTTTGGGTGGGCTCCACCCTGTGGGGTAAATACTTGGTGAGAGGCAAGTAAGCTGGATTTTAGAGCCACTCACCCGCTCACTCCATCACCCTTACTCATGCGTTTTTCATGCTACTTCTTCCTGACTCACAATTTTCTCATGAAATGTCCACTGCACACAGACACATCCTGCTGAAGGCCAGGTGCAAACACATAGTTGTGATTGATTGTGTTTTTGACACCCCACCCCTTCTCATCTGCTGGGAATGTCGCTAGAAGAGGCTTAGAGGCTGGAATGAAGCCAGAGGGCGAGGTTTCCAGGAATCATTTATATTCTGCCGCTTGCACCGATCACACACAAAACCAGGCACAGTTAGGAGGAGCTGCCCAGCAGAAGACACAGCAATGGCAGAGCTGAAGGTGAGTGGAAAAGACACGGTCTTCAATGATCCCATAAAGGAAGGAGGAAAGAGTGTGCGATCGTCTAAGATGAAGACATTTGGAATGTTCTACTGGGGGCTGTGAGTGTGGAGAAGAGAGACACCTTGGGGATATGATGATGGAAGCCTCATGGGGGCTCGTGGTGACCCTGGGCCGGTGTAATGCAATGTCCCAATGTCACCAATGGTGGTGTCTGACTGAGCATGAACTCTGTTGGGACGCTGTGACTTTGGGTGGGAAGTGGACAGCAACGGGGATAATGGAGTGTGTGCGTGGGTGCGAGGGGTGAGGCTGCCCATTTGCCTTCATGACTCTGAGTGTGTGTGAGTGCAGCTGGGCCAGGGGAGCAAGGGCGCATGTCTACATGAGTAGGAGGGCCGAGAGGTATGTGACACGGTGAGTCCCATGTCTGTGTGACTGTGTGTGGTGTGGGGCTGTGACTATGTATGTGGCTGTGTCTGCATGTGAGGGCTCTCCCCTACATGGTAGTGACTGTTGAAGTAACTATGGGTCTTTCCATGTGTATCAATGTGGACCCTGGTTGGTGAACTGGTTCGATTCCCGGTGAGGGCACAGGCCCGGGGTTTCAGGCTTGATCCCCAGCAGGGGGTCGTGCAGGAGGAAGCCGATCAATGACTCTCTCTCATCATTGATGTTTCTATCTCTCTCTCTCCCTTCCTCTCTCTGAAATCAATAAAGACACATTAAAACACACACACACACACACAAGAAGGGTGGGAGAAGTTGAACCTGGACTGTGGGGCCCTGGATCCCCTGTTGGGTCGGCACTCAGTGACCACCCCTCCCCGCTCCTGCTTCAGCTCTTCCCCAGCTAGTCTGTCCCTGTCCTGCAGGAGGAGGGTGAGCAGATCTTGGCTCTCTGGGGAAGGCAGTTGGAGGACTTGGTTTCAGAGAATGGATCACCTGAAGATGGATGGAAAAACATCAGCCTCAGTGCAGACAAAGCTTACACTAGATATCAGAGATCAATGTGTAGATTCTGCCCAATCACTTGCTGCCCCCCTCCCTGTGTGCAGGTACTGACTGTGTCCTTGGCGATTTCTACACATTCCTGAAAGGACATGCATTGCCCTTGAAAATTCTGATGCATATATATTCAACACACAGGAGTCTCCTTTTCAGTGATTTTCCTCTCTCTTTAAACATTTTATATTGGAGTGAATTTTTATATTTTTATACTTTTACATCCTAAAGTCTTGTCTTCACAGTTTCAGATAGAAAATAACAAGAGGTAGAATTCCAGAAAGGGCCCTCCCCTTCTGCTAGGTCACCCCTGTGTAGACCCTACACATGCCAGTGACCAGGCTAAAGGTTTAACATCTCTTAGCGCAGCTATTCCTGAGAACACCCTGCAAAGTGGGAATTTTCTGATAATCCTTCTTGTACTGAGAAAACTGAGGCAAGGAGAGTTCAAGAGATGGCCCTAAGATCCCATGGCTAGTAGAAGCAGAATCAGCACTGGAATCCAGGCCACCTGGCTCTTGACCCTTTGCTGTTAACTCCCACCCTCTTGTCTCTTCAAGGACACAGGGACCTGCCTGTGGTGAGGTGGGAAGAATTGTGTCCTCAGAGCTTGTCCTTTGATGTCTAACCTGCTTTGCCACTGGGTGTTGTAGGAGAGGAGACCACACCTGGCCTTGCCCCTCTCATCCACTCTTGTCTCCCATGGCAGGTCCCGTACATAAAAAGTATATCCTTGAATACTGGTTCTTCGGTGACAATCAAAGGGAAAGCTAATATGCCTTTCATGTGAGTACTCTATAGCCCATGGTGGGGAGGTGACGGAGAAGTGAGATTATTGAAGCTTTGGAGGTCACTTCATGCATGAGTGATGTTAAAATGTGTAATTAGCATAACGGTAGCACAACGCAGTTGCAATTTTTGGAGACCTATCTTGTGCCAAGATTAAACCTACAGGTGCAGGACCTTGGGCAAGTGTTGAATCTGGGGTTGGGGTCACTCAGGAGCTGTGGCTCATTATCAAGGGGCATAGAATTTCCAGGGCATGAAAAGTAGGGACAGGCCTGTGACTGCTGCTCAGTTTGAGTTTGGGCTAAGAGATGAGGGATCTCACTACCTTGGGCAAGACAAGCTAAAGCAACCCCACAAGGACAAGTCCTGCAGTATCACCCGGGAAGGCCTGCCTTCTACCATGGAGGAGCTGGGAACAATGCATATGTGTGTGTCAAAGGTGGAGCCCGCAAGGAAGGCTCCTGCCCAATGCACTGTGTGCTTTGCCTTCAGCATGAGCCCAGAAATGCAGGTGGATTTCCTCACGGGAACTGAGGAGAAATCAGACATCGCCTTGTCTTTCCGAGTGTACTTTGGCAACTGTGTGGTGATGAACAGCCGTCAGTGCGGGGACTGGGAATCAGAGGAGAAATACAGCTGCATGCCCTTTGTGGATAGCCAACCGTTTGCACTGCACATCTCGGTGCTGCAAAATGAATACCAGGTGAGTGTGACCAGGATCTTCCGCTGCTTGGGCTCTAGGGGCTCTCAGGGGAGGACAGTGCTCTCCCTGGCCTGGCCCAGGAGTCATTCAGGGTCACCTCCTGCCCCTCCCATCGCAGAGTACCCACTGCCATGCTCGGGTCCTTTCCCAGATCTAACCGGGGTCAGGGGTCAGATCAGCACACACGCCTATTGTCCATGGTGGAGAATTTCTTCCGTCTCCACTCACAGCCGTCATTTCTACCGAGGCTGTCATTCTTACAATTTAAAGTAGGAGATTCTTTAAAGACGCATATCATTATAATTAGTCTAAAATTAAGTCTTTCCTATATTCCCAAACCCCAGTCCTTCTCTCCAGAGCAACAGTTACTAGTCCCTTTGTTCCCCTTCCAGATATATGCTTGCATAAGTCTATCTACCTACTTACCTATCTATTTATCATCTGTCCGTGTCTGCTTTTATTTCTTTTTAACAAATGATGTTATAAGGTTTTCTGCAAATCACACATTGAGAACTAGAGTTTATTTGTTGTCAAAGAATGTGTGTTAGAGAAATCACTGTACCTGTGATGCCCCGCGTTATTTAACGTTTGCCTAATATTCCAATAGAAGCGCCATCAGAATGACTCGACTCGACCCTTTTCTTGCACATCTGGGTGGCTCCCATGTTTCGCTCTCCCGAATCCTATATCGCCTTTGTCACCAGCAAGCTCCCAGTACTTATGTGGGAGGATAATTTCAGAGAAATGGAATGACTGGTACAAAAATTGTGTGCATTTTAAATTAGAAAAATTGAGACCTCAATAAGTTGACCTTTTTCACCATAGCCACACTAATAAAGTATATATTTAAACATTCTGAGCTGCTTAAATGGAGAGACAATTTACCTCTTATTATGATTGAAGCGAGGCATCTTTTCATATGCTTATAAGCGGATTCAAAAAATCCTCATTTTTATGTTTTTATTGATTTTTAGAGAGAGAGGGAGAGAAAGAGATAGAAACATCCATTGGCTGCCTCCTGCACGGCCCCCACAGGGGGTCGAGCCTGAAACCTGGGCAGGTGCCCTGAGCGGAAATGGAACCGGGGACCTCTCGGTGGGCGGGTGGATGCTCAACCACTGAGCAACACCGGCCGGGCAAACCAGTCTCCTTTTCAATCGTATGTACTAATCCACCTCTTTAAGAACACTCAAGTTTTATTTTTACTTCCGTCACCCCAAATCTGAGTTACTGCAAGGAAAACCTAAGTCATCAGAAGGAAATGGCAGGAAGGTTTAGCAGAACTTAAACTAACGCACAGAGTGCCTACCGTCCACTTAGCCTGGGATGCTCTGTGCGAGATGCGGAGACTCAAGGTTCGTGAGACACAGCTCCCGGCCATGAGGATCCTCGAGGCTAAAGGGAGGGCCAGGCAAGCAGAGCCACAGCCCCTCAGTGGAGGAATGAGAAACACAGAAAACAGCATGTGAAACTGTCTGGAAGCGTCGCAAAGCGTGGGCCAGGAGAAGGGGCGCGTCTGCTGGCTTTTGAAGTGCCTCTAAGTTTCTGGGTGGGTGGTCTGTGCATAGGGCAGAAGTGGAAAGACAGACGGCACGTTTTGTTTGGAGGATACTGTATTTATGGCACATTTTCCCTTCCAGATAATGGTAAATGGCCGCCAATGTTACACGTTTCCCCATCGACTCAGGCCAGAATCTGTGCAGACGTTCCAGGTGTGGAGAGATGTCTTCCTGAATTCAGTGAGTGTCAGCTAGAGAAGGACGTGACCAGACTCCCCATTGTCAAGGAGATTCCCTCCACCTAAGTGGCCACCTGATTCCCAGAGCTCACTGACAGCATGGGTCCCCACCCTTCCCCCACACTGGTCATTAAAACTCCCGAAAACTTAACAAGATTTGTTTCTTGCTTCAGAGGGAAAAAAGAGAAAAAAAGATTAAGTGGGCAACGCCAAGGGGGGGTAAGGGTCCTGGGGGGGGAGAGTGAGGAATCAGAGGAGCTGACCCTACGGAGCAGGACTAGCTTCCGTGGGGCTTTGGTGCTCACCGGGTCTGCCCCTGGAGTGTGTCACTTGTGGAGGTGGTAGGGTTGCAACCTGGCCTGGTCCGAAGCCGTCCTCCGGGTGCAGTGGCTCTGGGGCCTCCTGGGAGGTGCAAAGTCAGTCACTGCCTGGGCCCCTCCTGGGCCCCCAGCACGAGCTGCAGAGCAAGCTGCAGATGGCTGCTGCTTGTGTTGGGCTTAGAGGTGCCCAGGGGAGGCCAGGCTGAGAACCAAGGTGGGCTGCTGCTAGTGAGGGACCTGGGGCCACTTAGTGAGGGGTCGGGGGTACGCAGAGGCCAGGTGCTGCTCACTGGAGAGATTTTAGGAAAGTCCGAAGCTTGAGGCAAGAGGGGCCAGTTGTGTGGAAAAGCCACTGGAAACAGCTTGGGTGAGCCTGCAAGTGGGTGTGCTGGGGGGTCTCGGGGAACCACTAGGGTGGGGCGAACAGAGTGAGCCAGGCAGATGGAGGCTCAGATATGCCCCCCACCTGTCTGCTCTTTTCGGGGAGGGCTCAGCAAAGGAACAAAGGCCTCTGGCAGCACTCCTGTCTGGGAGAAAGCTGTCCCCCCAGCTCTTGCCCGGATGCCAGACAATTTAGTTGCTCCCCATACACCCCAGGTTCCTTTCAAGCTGCTGCAGGGCGCTGGAGCGCTGAGGGAACGAATCCGAGGAAGTAGGTGCGCGGGCCCTTTAAGAGGAGCGGCTGGGCTCCCGCAGCCTCAGTCCCTCAGCCACAGTCCCCCTGGTTTCACAGCCAGAAGTTGTGGGGGCTTCTCTTCCTGGCCCTGGAGCCCTGGGCTGAGGTGACTGGTGTGGGGCGGGGACCCCTTGCTCCTCCAAGGGGACCTCCGCAGCCGAGATTCCCTCCCAATTAAGAACTGCCACAGGCTCCGGCCGGCGTGGCTCAGTGGTCGAGTGTTGACCAGTGAACCAGGAGGTGAGGGTGCGGCTCCCCATCAGGGCACAGGCCCGGGTTGCGGGCCCCATCCCCAGTCGGGCCGTGCAGGAGGCAGCCGATCCATGACTCTCATCATTGATGTTTCTCTCTCCCTCCCCCTCTCCCTTCCTCTCTGAAATCAATAAAATCATATTTTTAAAAATGAAACAAAGTAAGTGGTAAAAAGTTTCCCAGTCAGCATCTTTGCCATCGTGTAGCTTCATCTCTTCGGCGCAAGTCCCTTCCTTTTCCATGAATGCCCCCACCTTTCCCACGAAGTTTGCTGCACTGCTCTGCGCGGAGACCGGGCTGTCACTTCGCCTCTGAAGGTCCTCAGCTGTGCGAGATTCTCAGCTGTGCTGAGTTACTGTTACCAGCTCCCTTAAGGGGTTAGCTTTTTTTTAATTGATTTCAGAGAGGAAGGGAGGGGGGAGAGAGGAACAGCAATGATGAGAGAGTCATTGATCCGCTGCCTCCTGCTCCCCCCGCTGGGGATGGAGCCCGCAACCGGGCACGTGCCCCGACGGGAATGGAACCGCCAGCTCCTGGACCCTAGGTCAGTGCTCAGCGCCGAGCCACGGCGGCCGGGCAGGGGTTAGCTTCCCCCCTGCTCCCTCCCTACCCCCAAGTGACGGGCTTCGATTTAATTCTGACCCTACCCTGGAGTTAGCATCAGACTCCACGGGCCGACGGGCTGGGTCCCCGGGACTGCGCTCGCCTCAGATGCCAGCCACAAGCCTCGGGGCCTTTCCCACTGACCGGCTATGAATCCGGGGGCTCCCCACAACCCCTCGGGTTTGATAAGTCGCTAGAACAGCCCACAGAACTGCAAGGGCTATGCTAACAGCGTTACTATACAGGATACGACTCAGCAGCAGCCCGATGAAGGGCCCTGCGGGGCAAGTCAGGAAGGGCCCGGGGACAGGCCTTGTCCGACCTCTGCGGCGGGGGCAGGTGCGCCACCTTCCCCGCACAGCTGTGTGCTTGCCAACCAGGACGCTCCCGAGTGTCCCCAACCAGAATTTCTACGTGGAGTTTCGTTACACAGGTATGACTGAGTAACTCCTTGGCCAAGTAATTAAACTCACTCCCCAGCCCCTCTTCACAGCCCTAGGTTGGGCTGGCCCCAAGTCCCAACCTTCTAGTCCTGTGGCTGGTCTTTCTGGTGACCAGCCCAATCCTGCAGCTATCTAGGTGCCCACTATGAGTCCCTTCAGTAGCATAACAAAGACTCCCATCCCTGGGACAACTCGGTATTTGAAGCTCTGTCCCAGGAGCTAGGTACAAAGCCCATGTATATTCTGCATTATACCACGCCACTGCATACAAATTGTTCTGTGTGTGACAAAGTGACTTTGGGTGAGCGAGGCTGTGTTTCTTGGTGTGACTTTGTGAGAGTTGGTGTGACTGAGAAGCTGCACAGGAGATAATAATAACCAGTGTCCAGGGCTCAAAAGGAGGTTCCTTCCCATAAAACCCACTCACACTACAAACCCCTCACTTTGGTAGACTTGAGTGAAGGTCAAGACTGGAGGGCGTCGCAGGGCTGGGGTGATCTCATGGAGGACACAGCCTTCCCATCTGGTCAGCTTTCACCTTCTCTGTATCTCAACCCTTTCTCCCCCCTTCTCCTCTTCCCCTTTATCTCAGGAGCAAAACCAAGGCCTCTTCTTACCTCTCAGAGCATTTTCAGATTTCCCCTTGCTTGAACAATTTAAGAGGCATGCCGGCATGTACAGTGACTTCTGACACCAACTCCCGAGTTAGCCCAAACTTCACAGGTTATGAACAGAGTCCCCCACAAGACTGCCCTCACTCCAGGCACTAGCTGCAAGTTCAGGGGTCCCCCAGGCCACTCTCACTTCTGACCAAGTGGCTACAAGTTCAAGGATTCCCACTGCCCGCTTGTTACCAGTCGTCAGGGGGTCTGGGCCCGCTGAGAAGGGTCTGCCTAGGGCCCGCTGGTCGTGTATGGCTTCTTGACTTCATGTAGGAAAGATTTCATAAAACGAGTCCAAGCGTTTTTTGAGAGTATGTTTATTAAAGCTGGGAACGGTGAAATAAAGGAAGGGCTTAAGGTAGGAGAAGCAACAAGAGAGAGAAAGTCAGGGAAAAGGGGACCTTGGAGACAGGTCCAGGGGATTAGCCCAGGTGGAGCTGCCGCTGCCCACTGTTCCCCTGGTTGCAAGTCCCGTGGAGTCCCCTAGAGTTTAGGAGATACATGTCCGTGGGGGTAGAAGTGGGGGAAGGGAAAGGTGTGGGCGTGCTCCCAAGAGGGAGAACGCACCATGGATCCTTTGTCATGAAGCTGTTTTTCTTTCTTTGGCTGGCTGGAGGTGCATGAGGATGTCCACTGCAGCATTATTTACAGTGGTGGCCAGAGCTGGAGACAGCCTGGTGTCCACCCCCCTGGAGAGAGTAACCAAGGGGGACACACACCAGGGAGTACTGCCCAGTTCTCAGGAGTGGTGGGCCACACCTGCTCAGAGAAACACAGGGGGATGTTTAAACATAGTGCTTACAGTAATGAATCATTAGCCATTGGGAAAAAATGGGAATTCATGAGTCCCTAGAAGCTCCTGGAGCTTCCCCATGGCCACCTCCCAGTGTGGGGATGATGATTTGCCTAGACGGGAAGATGCCAACCAGACGCCCCAGGGGGGCTTCCTGCACTCACCCTCCACTGCGCCTCCTTCCCCACATAGTTTCCTGACACCAGCCCTTGCCCACAGAGTGCCCTCTGCATACAGATTTCTGTGGCAAATTCTATCCAGCATTTATCGGAGTGGTTCCTGCCTGCAGACAGCACAGTGGCCAGTGGCAGAGCTGGCCTGTCGCAGCCCAGGGAGAGAGAATGGGGTCCAAGCTCACAGGACGTCAGGGAAGAGAAGGGTCACTAAGTGGACTTGGGAAGCTTCCTGGTAAAGAATACAGGAGGGCTAGGCTGTGAATTTTGGTAGGAGTCCATGAACCCACAAAGGGCAGGTGTGTCTGGAAGGAGAGTGAGGGTAAAGGGTTCCTGGGGTCCTGCAGTTCTGCAGCAAACCTGGGGAGCAACAGGTCTGGCCTTATGTTCACCCTGCCCTTCTCTCCCCAACCACTGGAGATGCTGTGAGCACCGCAGCAGGCGGCTTCCACAGACCTCAGAACAGAGTGTGGTGACCAAAGACAGTAAGAACAGAACACGGGGAGGCAGGGATCCAGACTGTATTTTCCCCTTCATCCCACCAGACCCCACCCCAGCCCCAGCCACCATCGAAAAAGGACCTGACCCTGACGGCAACATTTCAGCCCTTCTCGTCATCATGCTGAGGCTCCTGAGATGGGGAAAGAAGAGAGAGAAAAATTTTTTTAATAACAATGACAGCAACTGTATAAAAATAATATCGTTTCTATCAGGCTCACTGTGTGTCAGGCACCATTCTAAAGCTTTCCTCGGATTATGATGCTCACTCGTGTCTCCTTGCTATTTTTTGGACACGATCCTATCTCAGGACCTTTGCACATGCTGCTCCCTCTGCCTGGAATATTTTCTACCCACAGTGGTTCGATCCCTTCTTTCAAGTGTTGACATATCCCCTTCCCACTGAGGTCTTACCTGACCCCTCAATTTAGAGCTGCAAACCCTTCCAGCACCACCCATGCCCCTTCCCTTCTTCACTTTCCTTCTCACCACTTATCCACTGTCGCCACGCCGGAGCCGGAGCTCTGGAATATACTTTGAAATACTCCAGCGCAGCCCTAGCCAGGCAGCTCTGCTACTTAGCGCATCCTCCTGCCAAGGTTGCGGGCCCAGTCCCCAGGCGGGGCGCATACAAGAACCAACCAATGAATGGAGTGGAGCGGCAAATACTACAGTGCCACAGTTAAAAAGTGGGGAGGAAAAGAGATGAAATGAGACAAGAGAAAGTTGGTGATAGTTGACCTGGGGGATGGGTACATGGAGTTTATTATACTGATCTCTCAACTAAGGTGTATGTCTAAAAGTTTCCACCAAAAATGTTTTTAAAAATTGTAGCTGCCATTTGTATAAAATTTGAGAAAATGCAAACTAATTTACGGTGACAGAAAGCAGATGGGTGGTGTCCTGGGATGGGAGAGAGGCTGGGAGAAATTACAAAAGTGTCTGAGGAAATGGGGGGTGGGGGGGTGGATATGTTCATTATCTTCCCTTTGGTGATGGTTTCACAGAAGCGTTCATACATCAAAACTCACCGATGTGTAGGCTTTAAACATGCACTGTTCTTTATATACCACTTACACCTCCAGAAAGTTGGAAACAAATGTAAAAAAAAAAATAGATATACAACAGACGAAGTATTAAATCAGTAGCGGCTTAAGTAATAAAAGAAAATTTTAAGTATCAGTAGCAGCTTGCAAATGTGGCTTCAAAATTCAGTACCAGTGGCAAATAAATTATGCACGTGTCTCAATGCCTTCAAACAACGTTAGCAACAGAACTTTCTGCAATGCTGGATTCCATGTCGTGCACCTGTGCTAATACCACAGCCACATGTGGCTATAGAGCACTTGAAATGTGGCTTGTGTGACTCATAACTGAGTTTTAATGTATTTAATTTTAATTAACTTGATTTTTTAAAAATTGATTTCAGAGAGAGGAAGGAAGGGAGAGGGAGAGAGACAGAAACATCAGTGATGAGACAGTCATTGATCGGTTGCCTCCTGCACGTCCCAGACTGGGGACAGAGCCCGCAACCCGGGTATGTGCCCTGACCGGGAATCGAACCAAGACCTCCTGGTTCATGGGTCTACGCTTAACCACTGAGCCACGCCGGCCAGGCTTAATTAACTTAATTTTAAATTGGAAAGCCACATGGTATTATTGGATAGCTCAACTTTACAAGTTAAAAAATATACACACACATATATATCTTTTGAAAATAAATTTATAACTGACATACACTGAGCGCTACTCCAAGCTGTGCATTATTTATTATCTTATATGAGGCATCTCACAGAATCATCTCAACAGCCCCATTTTTACAGATGAAAAAACAGGCTTAGGAAGGATGTAGATGACTTGTCCTGATTATAACAGTGAGGACTGGCTGAGCTAGGATTGGGGCTGGGGTGTTTTTGCCCTGCCCCTTGCTCACCTACTCACCCACAGCCCAGCCTCCACCCCTCCCTCCCACCTTACCTCCCCCAGCTCACCTCCAGCTCTCCAGGTGCCTGCTCACTTTTCCTGATCTCACTGATAATGTTCACAATTTTCTGCATTCCGGCCTCATCCACAAAGCCATCACCTTTCTGAACAGAGGGGAAAGAGCACAGACATATGTGTCTCCCACAATCCAGGACCCCAGCACCACCCTCCTGCCCTGTCTGGGACCCTTACTCAGAATCACCTTCTTCGAATGAACCAGTTTCCCATTCACAAACACTTCAAACTCCCCGGTAGCCTGTGTGGCTATGTTGTCCTCCTGGGGAGCAAATGTTGGCTGTGGAGGGAATTTTGGGGGCGGGGGAAGGCTAACTGCTCCTCTCCAAGCCCCTGGGGCTTTCAGAGCCCTGACTATGCCCACTCCCCCAGTCACCAACACACTCACAAAGAGTAGACAATTTGGAAATTGTTTCTCCAGACTCTTTCTCAGTAGAATGTACTGCAGGGAGGAGATGAAATCACGCGGTCACGGGGTCACAGGTCTTTCAGGGATGGGAAATAGGAACTCCTTCCAGACTTCATGTCCCACACTCTCCCCAAGCCCAAAGCCAAAAACTACTCACCCGGAGGTTATAGCTTCAGAGGCCACTGGAGGCCAAGGGCAAAAGGAGGAGGCAGAGAGAGATAGAAGATACCGCATCAGTGTCCCGCCCAAGCCCAGAGGGACCCTGTGAACACTTGAGTCAGATCACATCCTTCCCCAGTCAGAACTCTCCTATAGAGCCATCTCCTTCAGGGCAGAAAACCACAGCCCTCCCATGGTCCACAAGCCCCCACAGGATCTGCTCCTATGCCTCTCTCACCCATCTCCTCCCACTCTCCCCCTGGCCCACTCTGCTACAGCCACAGGGACCCCCTAGCCTGCCTTCCAACATCCAGGCGTGCCTTGCTCAGAGCCTTTGCACTAGCTGTTCCCTCTGCAGAATGCAGTTTCTCTGGTATCTACACGGCTCTTTCTCTCCCCTCCTTCAGGTCTTTGCTAATGTCACCTTCTCGGTGATGCCTTCCTGACCACCCCCAGTTAAAACTGTGACGACCCCCTGCAAGATGCCTGTTGTTCACAGCACTGATCACCTTCTAAGATACTAATTTACTGTGTGTTATACTTATTCCATACCAAAATGTCAGCACTGCAAGGACAAGAATCTGTTTTATTCATTGTGTATAGCTGATGGGTCTGGCACATGGGAGGTGCTTAGTAAATAGTTTTAAATGAATGAAATAATGAATCCATGGAATCAGAGAAAGAGATAGAAAGAAGGAAATGGGCAGAAAAAGAAAGAGAGGGAGATGAGGAAACGGGAGAAAGAGAAAGACACATATACAACACAGGAAAAGAAGAAACAGCGAATTGGGGAGAGAGACAGCCCCAGGCAGAGACAGAAAAGAGAGAAAGTGGGGGCTATAAAGGGGCAGAACTTTCTAGAGCAGAAGACAGGCATGGGGATTGAAGGGAAGATAAAACACCTCCCATGGAGGTATCCAGTCCTGGGTCTCAGGAAGGTCAAGGAAGGTCATTGCATTTACTGTTGTCCTTGACACAAGGGACACTCCAGACCTGGGCCAGCCTCCTTTGGCTTTGCACTTGCTGCTCCCTTCCCCACCCCCCCCAATGCCTTGCTACTTTGGTCACCCTGGCCCCCAGCTCTTCACTTGGCAGCCTCCTTCTCATCACCGAGAAGATGCATCTCAAGTGCCACCTCCCAAGAAAGGCGGCCCCTAACCACACAATCTGAAGTTCTCCACCCCTTGTCCTCCCTCAGGGCACTCTATCTTTGGGTCTGCCTTCTCCAGCCTCCCTGGGGAAGAAAGCAGGTGGCTGTGCTCAGCACTCCATCCCCAGCTCAGGCCTGGCCCATGGTGGGCAGGGAGGG